GACATCAATCTATGATGCCACTTATGAATGCAGTATGGTGGGGAGGAGAGATGGCATACTATCTTTCTCCAATTTTGGTATGAAAGTTACATAGCTTCAAGACATTAATTGGAGCATTTCCATTTTTCTATTGATATCAATGCATTAAACTTGGAATTATGTTCTTTATACCCAGCTATAACACAGCTATAAAACCATCTAGATCTGATACCTGTTTTATTTGATAGATGTTTCATGACCCTTCAAATATTTCCTGTAGGATTTTGTAAGTTCCATACTGCTTCTTGAAACAATTTTAGTCCATTCGTATTCTTCAAGGCAGTCACCCATTTGCCCTCATTTTTCAATTTTATTGATCTTCTCATTATTTGGCATTCGGTCCTCTTTTCCATATTTACTGCTGTATGTTTTTGCTCTGACCTTGTTCCTTTGATTAAGCAGGAGTTTATTTAATTGGTCTTTTCAATGAATCAGCATTTTTTTCTTCTATTGTCTTTGTTTTGTGTTTCATTCAGTAGGCTTTTCATCTCCATTTAGTTTATTTATAAAATTTTTATGATGAACACTTAGTGCATGTGTTTTAAGTCTAGTTTCCAATGTGAAGTGGACAAATCTGATCTTAGGTTTATTTCATTTTCTCTGTAGGTAATTTAGTGTGTTGGGATGTTCAGGTTTTATTATTTATCCATGAAATTCAAAACTTTTATTAAAACACAACTAGGGTGGGTGTGTTATCAATTCATCCCTTCAGGAATCAAGCGAGCCTCTGCAGCAGCAAATCAGAGAAAGTACCATCCGTTAATTGTTTCATTCATAGCTCCTCACCCATCTGCTTGTTACACTTTGTCCTTTGGAACATGCTTGCCCGTCAGGTCATTTGCATCTGTCCTCTGGGCTTATCTTTTCCTTTATGACTGCCATCTCAAGGTGCTGCCACTCTCGATTGTGAGACATTTTTTTCATGTTACCTTTCAGGTCACTGATGTGAATGTCTGTGTTCATATGCTGAATTTTTAAATTCAAGAGATCAGGTTTTTGTTTCAAGTTCCCAAAAGTCTTCTCCAGTGCTCTACTTGCATGTCTGTGAAAGCTTTCATGACTTACGAGTTAAGGTTCTCACCGGCTGCTTCCAATGGCTCTATTTCAACCCCACCTGTACCATGTCTACCCGGGTCCGTCTTCCTTTTATTCCTCTGAGCCAGGTCTTTTTTTTTCCACTGTGGCTTTGTTCCTCATGGCTTTGCCTGCTCAGTAGTCACGCCAAGTCGTTGGGTCATAGTGGCAGGTGCAGCAGTTTCTGCTCTTAGGGAATCACGTTGGGCAAGCTGGCCAACGTAGCTATTTATGTATAAGGAGGATTTTTCTCCATTCCTCTGGGTTTCCCCAACTGTAAAGAAATCTTCCCCAACCTCAGAAACCAGGACCAGCTCAGCTCCAGAGTACACCTCCCCCTCCTGGTCCTCTGAGAATCTGGAATGTGCTGGAAGGTGCTGGAATGTGTGCAAGAGCCTTTCTGCAAAGGGATTCACGTGTGTCTTGTGGCTGAGCACTCACCAGGAGCCAGAGCATCCTGGCCTTTCCACTTGGCTATTACAGCCCCTGCATCTTAGCTCGCACTCAGTGCAAAGCTAAATACCGTCCACTCTAGGATCAGTACTCAAAGATCCCAGGGCAGTTGCCCACTAATGATTAGGGTAGAATATTCAAATTTCCCTACTTTCTCCTATCCCATTTTTCTGAATCTCACAAGTTTAGATCAGTTGCGTGAAGGCCCTTTTCAATTAATGACAAGACTGGATATAATACATCAACTTAAAAGAAACTATTTACTTTCAGAGAAAAATTCAACATGTATCCAAAAATATATGGTCTTTTTTTTCTCTCTCTCTTTGATCTATTATTCCATTACTATATATCTAGCCTCAGGAAGTAATTTTTAATCAAAAAGTGTTATATAAAGACTTTCATTATTTATAAAGTAACAAACTACAAACAACCTAACTGTCCATCAGTGAGAGAATGGCTAAGTGAATTAATGACCTACACCTAATGAAATTGGCATTAATGGCTTGGAAAATCATATAATAACATAGAAAAATGCTTAAAGTCATCTGTGAAGTGGTAAAGGGCATACATTCATATGCATCAGATGACTCTAACCATGAAATATCATATGCAAAAAATTATCAGGCAAAAGAAATATACCAAAGTGCTAACAGTGGTTATATACAGGTTATTTATGAGAATTTTTTTAAACCCCCCCTTCCTTTCTTTTCCTGCTTCAAATTACATATAGTTAATAAAATGGTACTGAAAATACTCTTTGTAAACCATACATACACCTGAGTAAAGGACTGAGAATTGATAAAGTAATTGTGACATGTAAATAAATAGTGTCTTCAGAAGGGACTTAAAGTGCTTATTGACAGTTTTCTGGGGCTTTAAACTCTCTCTCAGCAAATGTTTTATAAGTAAACTCCATCTCAGCCCTCACTGGATCAATAATTTGCTCAGAGGAATCTCTTGTGAAGCTGTTTACCAGTCTCTCCCTGGCATCACAGAGGACAAGGTGGTAAAACAAGGTTTGACCTCGGGCAGCGAGAAAACCCAGGTCGGCTTCCCAGAAACGCCTCGTCAGTGTGGGGCAGGAACGCCAGTGGCACCTGTGGCTTAGAACCAGGTGACCGATGTGTAATTAAATAAAAGCTGGAAAACCAGCAGCGGAAATGAAATTTACACATCCTCAGATAACTTCTCCAAAATTCCTTCACGGAGAAGCAGGGTTGCACCTGGAACCCACAGCACGCCCCAACTCCTCTGCGACGCTCCGCTGGCATCCCCAACAGCACGGAGCTTCCCCAACCCAGCTCTGGATAAACGCATTTTCTTTTAAATATAGTAACTTTCTCTGCTGCCAGCGGTACCTGACTATTTACATTATTTATAATGTTTCCTAGTTGTTCACAACAGCTTTGCACAGCAGCGTCTAGAAAAATGCATTCAGACCGCCGTCTGAAACCACTTTTATCACTTCATTTTTCTGGTGAAATGTCTGCAAAAGGGTTTAATGTACATGGAGAGGAAGTGTTGGTTTCCTTTCCCCAGGCAGCAGAATTCCAGGTCTGCCAGTGGGTCGCGAAGAGGTGAGCTTGTCTAAGCCAAGGGTCTGCAAACTCACTCACTCCAGGCTTTTGCTGAAGGCCCAGGTTTTACCATTTTACCATGCTGCTCAATGAACTGATCCCACTGACTCTGTATCTGGGAATCGATCCTAAGGAATTAATTCTGACTTACTGGAGGAAAAGAATAACCACATGAGGATGTTCATGAGAGCTTCATTTGTAAGTGGATTCCATCTAAATGCCCAATTTAGGGGAATGTTCAATCTATGGTGGATCAGTTTGATGGAAAAATTTGTCAGTCATTCAGTGCTAATGATAATTAGGTAATAGCATGAAAAGTGCTTATAAACTTGCTTTAATGCAGTAGTTCTTGACTGGGGATAATTTTTTTTTTTTTTTTAACCACCCAGGGGACACGGGACAATGTTTGGAAATAGTTTTGGCTGTTATACAAGGCGCGGAGTGCTACTGGCATTTAGTAGGTCGAGCACAGGGATGCTGCTAAACATCTTACAATGCATTGGGCAGTTCCCACCACAAGGAACGACCTAGCCCCAAATGTCAACAGTGCAAAAAGAAAAAATTACATGTGTATACAGACATTTGAATTATTATCATTATTACACTTTCATAAGAATGCACTGGCCTGGAAATGAAGGAAGCAAACAGCCTAAATGCTAGCTTTATCTACTCATCTCTTCCCCCAAATTATAAGACTGTACTTTCCACACAATCTTGGCTCTGTGCAGTTTTAAGAAATTATTTATACATAATAATATACTCTGACTTAAGTCTTTTAACAGACTTCTTAAAGACCTCAGTTTTATTAATGATAAGTTGACAGTGCATAATTCAGTCGAAAAGAGTAGAAATGGAAGGCATGCTCATTCTCAGCAAGGACAACAGGACAGGCTGTGACTTCTCTACGCAGAGAACAACCAGATTGAGAAAACAAGATGTGTATCCAGGGCCAGTGACCACGCCCACACCAGCCTGCTGGGGTCCAGAACCACAGCCTTGCTAGGTTATCCCAAGAGAACTGGACTGACCACTGAAATCCCTCAGCCCATGCTGGGTTTTTTGGCAATGGCATGGAAAGATCTTGGGGGACTATACTGGTCCCCGATGTATGAGGCCTTGCAAAAACACACACCAAATGAGTTTCACTCTGCAAGCAATGCCATCAAGATACTGAACCTCCAGAATCACAGTAAATATCCCATCAAACCCAAGACCTGAACTATACTTAGCTTGGTACTATGTTCTCAGCAGCCTACCTCAATCTTTTGAATAGTTCAAGGAAGACAAGCCCTTTCTGCTCCATCTAGCATAACTGGTTAGTTAAAGGAGGGATTAAATGTCTTCAAGGCCTTGGCAAAAGAAAAAAACCAAAAAGGCAGACTCCTCCAACAGCAGAGAGAACCTCAAGAGGAGTGCCGCTCAGTATGGGAAGTTGTGGCCTATGAACACCCTTCCCCATGACAAGGCCTCACTGGATGCTTCCAGACTTTTTCAGGGATTACCCAAGACCAGCAGGCAGAGGAGGGCACACAGGAAGGATGAACTTACCTAGAAGAACATCGCCTTGCCTGACTTTGCTGAAATGAAACTCTGAGGAACTTCCAAAGAGCTTCACCCTTTCCAACTACATAGCCTACTCATAGATTGTACAGCACTCTCCAAGGACGGATGCTGGGTGACAACACCTAGGCCCTGTGGGGAGATCTGTCACTGAAAGGAATTCTTCTTTTTACTGATGTGGCATGTTTGGCTAGGTAACTCTCGATGGCTTTAAGTCCACCAGTCAAGCATACTCATCGTCCACTTCACCCACCAGCACATGTAGCTTGGGGAACCCACACGGGTTTCTCCACTCACCAGGACTGGCCGCATCTCACAGAAAACCAGGAGGGAAGCCAGCTCGATGTCTTCGCTGTACCCATTCTTCAGAGGAACAGATCTAAATCCTGCAGCAGAAAGGAAAAACAATGCTAAGGCAGGTAATTAATGTCTGACCATAGCTTTCTTGGGGTACCCAGGGATCGCATGCCTAGTTCAAGGAGCAGAGGGGTCAGGGCCCCGTGCTGGGGCTCACTCTCTGGAAGCCAGAGGTCCCGTCCTGATGGTGACAGAGAGGGCCTCCAGAATGCGGGCTTGACTGACAGGTCCATACAGAAAAGGGAAGTTAAAATATCTGCCAGCTAGAAATGAAAATGATTCACTCAGGAGAAGGGAAAACCCACAGGACATTACACAATGAGTTTAGAGTGACTGTAGCTATGGTTCAATGCCTCAGATACTCCAGAGGCCAAAGATTCAAAGGAGTAATGAATCCTCGCATCCATTTCCTCCACTTAGGCCCTCACAAAGCGTAGGATGGGGGAGTGTCTTTAAAGATTTCCAGTGGGAGGAGATCTTTTCTATCCCTTGGCAATTTGGAGCACTATTGATCATCCTCCTCTGAAAGCCATTCGCTATTAACTTAAATGTTAACTTAGAGGAGGGTTGAAGTAGAGCTGAATTCCCCTGCCACCACCACCCATTAAGTAATGTTTAAGGCAACACATCTCAAAAGTTGGTTTGTTTGCTTGTTTTAATTAAGTGGCATAAAAAAATACACAGTAGAGGCCCTGGTTAGGTAGCTCAGTTGGTTAGTGTGTTGTCCCGATACACCAATAAATGCATAAATAAATGGAACAACAAATCAATGTCTGTCTGTCTCTCTTTCCCCCTTTCCCTCCTTCCTCTGTCTCAAATTAACAAAAATATACAGTAAAAATGAAAGTCTCACTCCCATCCACTCATAATTCTGTATTTCACAAGGAACCACTGTGGACAGTATCATCCCCAAACAGTCTACACATTTGTTTGAGTTTCCTCTAAAATCGCAAAGGATAGTACTCTGACCTAAGCAATTCTGAACCTTACATTTTCCATTTTAACACTGTATCTTGGGTTGATGATTAGTGATGTTGAGCATCTTTTCCTATGTCTGTTGGCCATCGTATGTCTTCTTTGGAATAATGTCTTTTCATGTCTTCTATTTTTTTGATCAGATTGTTGATTTTTTTTGTTGTTGTTGTTGTTATTGAGTTGAATGAGTTTCAATCTTTTCATGTCCTCTGTCAATTTTTTTTATCAGATTGTTTATTTTTTTGTTATTTAGTTCTATGAGTTTCTTGTATCTTTGGGATATCAACCCCTTATCAGATATATCATTTGCAAATATATTCTGTCATTCACTAGGTTGTCTTTTTGTTTTGTTGACTGATTTCCTTCCCTGCATAGAAGATTTTTAGTTTGATGAAGTCCCATTTGTTTGTTTTTGTTTCCCTTGCTTGAAGGGATGTATCTCCCCAAAATATTATTCAAACTGACATCAAATAGCTTACTGCCTATGTTTTCTCCTAGGAGGTTTATGGTTTAGACCTTACATTTAAGACTTTATGCCATTTTTGAATTTATTTTTGTATATGATGTAGGAGTGGTCCCATTTTATTTTATTTTTTGCATGTTTCTGTCCATTTTCACAATACGTCTTGTTAAAGAGACTGTCATTACTCCATTGTATATTCTTACTGCCTTTGTTATATATTAGTTAACCATATAAGCAAGGGTTTATTTCTGGTCTCTCTATTCTGTTCCATTGATCTATATGTCTGTTTTCTGTGCCAGTACCATACTGTTTTAATTATAGCTTTGTAATATTGTTTGAAATCAATGTGATATTTCCAACTTTGTTCTGTCTCAAGATTTCTTTGGCTATAAGTTTTAGAATTATTTGTTCTAGTTCTGAGAAGGATCTCACTGGTATTTTCATAGGAATTTCATTGGATCTGTAGATTGCTTTGGGCACTACTGTCCTTTTAATGAGCATGGTATATCCTTCCATTTATTTGGATCCTTTTCACACTTTTCAGTGTCTTACAGTTTTCAGAGTACAGGTCTTTCACCTCCTTGGTTAAATTTATTCCTAAGTATTTCATTCTTTTTGATGCAACTGCAAATGGAATTTTTTTAAATCCTCATCAGAGAATATGTTTATTGATTTGAGAGAGGAAGAGCAAGAAAAAGAGAGAAACATGTTGGTTGCCTCCCATACGCACCCCGACCAGGGATCAAACCCACAACCTAGTTATGGGCCTGACTGGAGACTAAACCCACAACCCTTTGGTGTGTGGGATGACACTCCAATCAACTAAGCTACCCGGTCAGGGCTAGAATCGTTTTATTTCTCCTTCTGATTGTTCATTATTCATGTATAGAAATGTGACAGATTTCTGTATATTAGTTTTGTATCCTGCTACTATACTGAATTATTTTATTATTTATATTAATTCTTGGTGGATTCTTCAGGATTTTCTATATATAGTATTGTGTCATCTGCAAATAGTAACAGCTTTACTTCTTTTTTTCCAACATGGATGCCTTTATTTCTTTCTTCGCCTGACTGCTGTGTCTAGGACTTCCAATACTATATTGAATAATAGTGGTGAGAGTGGGCATCCTTGTCTTGTTCCTGATCTTAGAGGAACAACTTTCATGTATTCATCATTGAGTATGATGTTAGCTGTGAGCTATCATATATAGAAACGCCTTTATCAAACTGAGGTGAGTTCCATCTATACCTGCTTTGTTAAGGTTTTTTGTCATTGATGGATGTTAAGTTTTGTCAAATATTTTTTTCCAGCATCTACTGAAATCATTATGAATATTATCCTTGGTTTTGTTGAATGTAATGAATCACAGTACTTGTTTTGGGGATGTTGAATCATCCCTGGTATAAATCCCACTTGATCATGGTGAATATTCCTTTAAATGTACTGTTGAATATAGTTTGCTAGTATTTTGTTGAGAATTTTAGCAACTATGCTCATCAGGGTTATTGGCCTGTGATTCTCTTTTTATGTGGTGTCTTTATCTGGATTTTGTATTAAGATTATGCTGGCTTTGTAGAATGAGTTTGGAAGGATTCCTTCCTATTCTTTTTTTGGAATAGTTTCAGAAGGACAGGTACTAATTCTTCTTTAAATGTTTGGTAGAATTCACCTGTATATCTTACCCCGGGCTTTCATTTTTGGGGAGTTTTTTTATTATTTTTTCAATTTCATTGATAGTAATTGGTCTGTTCAGAATCTGTTTCTTCCTGGTTTAGTCTTGGAAGGTTGTATGTTTCTAGAAATTTATCCATTTCTTCTAGATTGTCCAATTTGTTGGCATATAATTGTTCATAGTATTCTTTAATGATCTTTTGTATTTCTATTGTGTTTATTATCATCTCATTTCTGATTTTGTGTACTTGCTCTTTTTTGCTTGATGAATAATATTTCTAGAGGCTTGTCAATTTTATCCTTTCAAAGAACCAACTTTTAATTTTATTAATCTTTTCTATTGCTTTTCTGTTTTCTATTTCATTTATTTCAACTTTGATCTTTATTATTTCCTTCCTTCTACTTACTTAGAGTTTTGTTTGTTCCTTTTTTTCTAGTTTTGTTAGGTACAAATTTAGATTGTTTATTTGGGATTTTTCCTCCTTCTTGAGGTAGGCCTTATATAGCTATAAACTTTCCTCTTTCAACTGCTTTTGCTTTATCCCATAAATTTTGTAAGGCTGTTTTCTTTTTCATTTGTCTCAAGGAGTGTTTGATTTCCTGCCTAACTTCCTCTTTGACCCATTGGTTGTTTAGAAGAATGTTGTTTAATCTCCATGTATTTGTAATTTTTCTACTTTTCTTCCTGTAGTTGATTTTGATTTCTAGTTTCATGCCACAGTAGTCAGAAAATATGCTTGATATAATTTCAATGTTCTTGAATTTATTGAGGCTTGTTTTGTGGGCTTGTATGTGAGAATGTTCTGTGTACATTTGAGAAAAATGTGTGATCTACAGTTTTTGGATGAAATGCTCTCTAAATGTCTACCAAATCAAACTGGTCTGATGTGGAATAAGGCCATTATTTCTATATAAATTTTCTGTCTATATGAGATCTGTGCACTGAGGTTAGTGTATAATTAAACTCCCCAACTACTATAGCATTACTACTAATTTCTGCCTTATGTACACTAACATTTGCTTTATATTCTTAGGTGCTTCTATGTTGAGTGTATAGGTATTTACAATTGTCATAGCCTCTTCTTGGACTGACCCCTTTAAAATTATGTAATGCCCTCTGTATCTTTTTACATTTTGTTTTGCAGTCTATTTTGTCTGATATGAGTATTGCTACCCCAGCTTTCTTTTTGTTTCTATTTACATGGAATATATTTTTCCATCCCTTCACTTTTAGTCTATGTGTTTTTCAATTGAATGTGAGTCTCTTATAAGCAGCATATAGATGGGTCGTGTGTGTTTTTTCCATTCTGCCACCTTATGTTTTTTGATAGAAGTATTCAGTCCATTTACATTTAGAGTAATTATTGATAGGTATGTGTTTATTGACATTTTGTTGTTTTTTGGTTGTTTTGTTGTTCTTCACTGCTCCTTTCTTCTCTTGATCTCTTAACTTTTAATTTGTTGGTTTTCTTTGGTGGTTTAATTGGATTGCTTTCTCTTCATTTTCTGTATTTTTTAATTACATTTTATTGATTGTGCTATTACACTTGTCCTGATTCTTTCCCCTTTGCCCCCTCTGCCCAGCACCCCCCACTCCCTCAGGCAATCCCCCCACCGTTGTCCATGTCCACGGGTCATGTGAATGAGTTATTTGGCTACTCCATTTCCTACACTGTATTTTACATCCCCATGGCTATTCTGTAACTACCTATTTATACTTCTTAATCGCCTCACCTCTTCACTCATTCTCTCATCCCAACCCTTCCATCTCTTTATCTTTAACCTTTGGAATTTTAATTATGATGTGTCTTGGAATGGGCCTTTTTGCATCCATCTTGTTTGGGACCTTCTGTGCTTCCTGGACTTGCATGTCTATTTCCTTTACCAAATTAGTGAAGTTTTCTTTCATTATTTTT